GGGGAGGGGTAGGGGAGGTGAGTGTAGAAGGTGAGAGTGGACACAGGGGAGGGGTGGGGGAGGGGGGAGATGAGAGTAGACAGTGAGAGTGGACACAGGGGAGGGGGTGGAGGGAGATGACTTGGGAACGATATGAGCAGGGCTGGGAGAAGAATTTTTCATGGCGTCACAGCCAGTGTTAGAACTTGGGCTTTTACTTTGAAAGGTGCCCAGAGCACATACTGTGTAGTGATGAGATCTGCATCATGACTGCTGTGCGGAGTGTACACAGGGAACAGGGTGGAGGCAGGGAGACCTGTGAGGCTGTAGAAAACTGAGCAAGGAAAGGCTAGTTCCTACCGAAGTCGTGGCAGTAGAGTGATGAGACGCAAGATAGGTCAGATTCTCAGTGTATTTTAAAGGTAGAACCAAGGGAAGGTATGATGCCTTAGATGTGAGGTTTCAAAGATTCGACTCCAGGGTCGTTGGCCTGAAAACCTGGAAGGACAGAGTGAAATGAGAAAGTTTTGGATGGGGCTGGTTTCAGCTCTTTACTCATAGGGGTTCCTTACTAGACTCAGGAGTTTACCTTTGGGTTGTTTAGTTGGAGACACTTAGGAGGCCACCAGCATAGGATGTTGCCGTGACTCTTGGGGATTTGGGACCTTGGGAGAGGTTTGTGATATCACGTGGTATATGTTAAAATCATAGGCCGGTGTATATGGTTCCATTTATTTAATCAGATTGTTAAAATAACAGCTCCCTTCTACATGTGGATCCAGTAAATTTCATTTTTACCTTGGGAGTTAGAAAAGAAGATCAAATTAAACCCCAAATTAGTAGAAAATAGGAAATTAGTGAAGTAGGAAACAGACAATGAAGAAAATTTAAAAATTGAAAATTGGTTTTTTGAAAAGGTTAAGAAATTGATAAACCCCTAGAGCAAGACTTAACCAAAAAAGTGAAAACATAAATTATCAACATCACAACAAAAGGGGGAAATCACTCTAGACTCTACACATATTAAAGAAGCCATAAGTAGATATTATGAACTTCGTCCACAAAATTAGCAACTTGATGAAATTGGCAAATCACTTAAGACACAATTTACCAAAACGGACACAAGAAGAAATAGGAAACTTCAAAGAACCTCATATTTATTACAGAGGTTGAATTTTGTAAGTTTTTGAAACAGTACTCTCTGTTGCTCAGGCTAGGATGCAGTAAGTGGTGCAGTCTTAGCTCTGCAGATTCAACCTCCTGGTTTCTTTTCTTTTTTGAGTTGGAGTCACACTCTGTTGCCCACACTGGAGTGCAGCGGCCGCTCCCGGCCACCGCAGCCTCGACCTGCTGGTCTCCAGTGATACTTCCACCTCAGCCTTCCAAGTAGCTGGAACTACAGGCACGTGCTACCACGCCTGGCTAATTTTTTTGATTTATTGTAGAGATGAGGTCTCACCTGCCCAGGTGGGTCTCCAGCCCACAGGCTCAGGCAATCCACTCACCTCAGCCTCCCAAAGGCACGCGATTACGGGCTGAGCCACCAAGCCTGGCTCAACCTCCTGGTTTCAAGGAATCCTTCCATCTCCGTCTCCTCAGTAGCTGAGACCACAGGCGTAAGCCACCACACTCTGCTATTTTAAAAATATTTTACAGAGATGGGCTTTCTCTATGTTGCCCATGCTCATCTTGAATTCTTGGCTCCAAGCTATCCTGCTTTGGCCTCCCAAAGTATTGGGATTACGGTATGAGCCACTGCTCCCAGCCCAGAGATTGAATATGTAATCAAAAACTTTCTAATTGGTCAGGCATGGTGGCTCATGCTTGTAATCCCCGAACTTTAAGAGGCCAAGGCAGGAGGATAGCTTGAGATCAGTCTAGATAACGTACTGAGACCTCATCTGTACAAAAAAAATTTTTTTTTTTTGAGTTGGATTCTCACT